AGGGCACGTGATAGCGTACGCTTCGAGGCAGTTGAAGCCTCATGAGACGAGGTATCCCACCCACGATCTAGAGTTGGGGGCGGTGGTGTTCGCCCTCAAGATCTGGCGCCACTATTTGTACTGGGTTCGGTGTACCATATACACGGACCACAAGAGCCTGAAGTATCTTATGGATCAGCCCAACCTGAATATTCGTCAGAGGAGGTGGCTGGATGTAGTGAAAGACTATGATTGTGAGATCTTGTATCACCCGGGCAAGGCTAACGTGGTAGCCGACGCCCTGAGCCGCAGATCAGAGAGTTCCCCAATCCGAGATGTGTGTATGAGGATGAAAGTGATGACTCCAGTTTTGGATACCATACAAGAAGCCCAGGCGGAGGCCGTGAGACCGGAGAACCGCAAGAGGGAGCGGGTGATTGGACAGGTATCCGAGTTTGTGACGGATAGCCGAGGACTTATGACCTTCCGAGGGCGGATTTGGGTGCCCTATACAGGCGGAGCTCGGCGTATACTGATGGAGGAGGCGCACAGATCGAGGTTCTCGATCCATCCCGGGGCCACTAAGATGTATTTGGACCTGAAGAGAGATTACTGGTGGCCCTGTATGAAGAGGGATGTTGCTTGGATAGTTGAGAGGTGCTTGACTTGCCGCCGAGTCAAGGCAGAGCACCAACGACCACATGGTCCATTGCAGCCTCTGGAGATTCCCCAGTGGAAGTGGGAACAAATTTCGATGGACTTTATCACCAAATTACCGAGGACTGCACGTGGAGTCGACGCGATTTGGGTAATTGTGGACCGACTGACGAAGAGTGCTCACTTCCTTGCTATCAGTGAGAGCTCTTCCGCGGAGAGGTTGGCAGAGATTTATGTGAGAGAGGTGGAAGCACGGCATGGGGTGCCGATCTCTATTGTGTCAGATCGAGACGTGCGTTTCATTTCCAGGTTTTGGAAGAAATTTCATGAGGAATTGGGCACGCGCTTACATTTCAGTACTGCGTATCACCCACAGACAGATAGGCAGAGTGATCGGAAGATCCAGACGCTCGAGGACATGTTATGAGCGTGTGTCATGGACTTCGGAGGAAGTTGGGACACCTACATACCGTTGGCCGAGTTTTCTTACAACAATAGCCACCATTCGAGTATTGGTATGCCTCCCTTTGAGCTTCTTTATGGGAGGAGGTGTCGGACTCCCATTTGCTGGGGAGAAGTGGGTCAGAGGGTGATGGGCAGCACGGAGATAGTGCTGAAAACAACTGAGCAGATTCAACTAGTCAGGCAGAGATTGCTGACGGCCCAGAGCCGCCAAAAGAGCTATGCGGACAGGCGACGGTCCGAGCTGGAGCTTCAGGTCGGAGACTTCGTGCTTCTGAAGGTATCCCCATGGAAAGGGGTGATCCGTTTTCGGAAACGGGGTAAGTTGGGACCCCGATACATCGGTCCTTTCAGAGTGACCGCCAGAGTGGGTAAGGTAGCATACCAGTTGGAGATACATGCGGAATTGAGTCAGATCCATAACACCTTCCATGTGTCCCAGTTGAGGAAGTGTGTAGCCGATGAGACGACAGTGGTGCTACTGGAAGACATTCAGGTTGATGCGAGCCTGAATTATATTGAGAGGCCGATCACAATCTTGGATCGAAAAGTGAAGGTTCTGAGGAACAAGGAAGTGCCCCTGGTTCACGTCCAGTGGCAGCATCGGAAAGGATCCAAGTTGACTTGGGAGCCGGAGTCAGAGATGCGGGAGCAGCATCCAGAGTTATTTGCGGAGCAAGACTTCGAGGGCGAAGTCCAATTCTAGTGGGGGAGAGTTGTAACATCCGGATTTCCAGGTATACTATTTTAATTATTTATTTTTGAGGATCATTGATCTACTCGACGAGTTGGCGCTATGACTCGCCGAGTAGAAGCGGGTTTGACACGCGAGTTTAATGATCTACTCGACGAGTCCGAGAGTAGACTCGCCGAGTAGGCGCTGGAATGAGAAACCCTAAATCCCCGGGTTTGGGACCTATTTAAAGGCACTTATAGCCTCCTTGAGCGGCCACACTTCACAGAGAGAAACCCTAACCTGCCCCTTTCGTTGTGTAGAGAGAGAGAGAGAGAGAGAGAGAGAGAGAGAAAGAGAGAGAGAGAGAGAGTCCATTTTGAGCATTCTTGTGCATTTTGGAGGAGAGATTGGAAGAGCTTGGTGGATCTAATCAAGAGAAAGATGTGGATCTTGCATTCTTCTATCATTAGCTTCTCTTCTGAGGTAAAAAGCTCTTACCTTGGCCACATATTCGTTAGATCTTATTTTTGGGGAGTTTCTAGGGTTTTCCCAAATCATCTTGTGTCCTTGAGTCATTTGAACATGGTTGAGGTTAGAACCTCAGATCTGGACTAGAGAAGGTCTTGAGAGCCCAAAGATTCGAGCTTTACTGAGCTGGAGGCAAGCTCATGTACATTTAACCTTTCTTGGGGCTTGTAATGGCATTATGGAGCATATATGCCATGCATGAACGTAAAGATCGAAGCTTTACGTGACATTCAAGCCTAGGGAGCCTAGATCTAGTGTTTGGAGTGTTAGATCTACCCAAAAACGTCTGAATGGAAGTATGGACTGGATGGACTCGCCGAGTCCATGTGCAGACTCGACGAGTCGATTAGGGTTTACTCGATAAAGTCTGAATACGCTGTAACTCGACGAGTAGACGGGTCTACTCGGCGAGTAGAGTTGGTTTTCATAAGGTCTCTGAGGGAATGAGGGGACTCGATGAGTCCTCCCGGTGCACTCGATGAGTTGAGTCAACATGGGCTGTTGACTCAAGTTGACTTCTGTTGACTTTTGGAGTGTAGACCAGCAATGAGTAATGGAGACCATGGAGGGGTAGGATAGTCTTTTACCCTTACCAAGATTTAGAGAGGGGTTAGTAGGAGCTTATTAGAATAATTGGTCTAACTAGAGATAATCACCATATGTATTAGGCGGAGGCTGTTTCGGTGATTCAAGTACGAGGTGTATTAGTTTGCTTACTTCGAGGTGAGTCTTCTCACTATACTTTACCTTGAGTGGTATTTATGTGTGACCAGAGGGTCTTATGTGCTTACTTGAGTTGTGCTTTATTTGTGTGATATATACTATGATATATTATGCGAGGCTGAGACCGGACCGGAGGGTCCAACGAGCCATGGGACTGGAGGGTCCCAACCAGACCGGATCGGAGGGTCCAACGAACCGTGGGACTGGAGGGTCCCACTGAGACACATAGACTGGAGGGTCTTACAGTGTTATAGCCTCGAGTGGCTAATATGTTGAATGTGGTATTTTGGGGAACTCACTAAGCTTTGTGCTTACCGTGTATGTGTTATGTGTTTCAGGTAGTTCTGAGGATCGTGGGAAGGCACCGACATGATTGTACACACTGGCGAGAGACTGTTATATGATTCTGGGATTTGATTTTATATGTGTGGAATTGTTGACATTTGACTTATGATTTTGAGAATATAAAACTGAGTTTTATTGTGTTTGAAAATGAAAATTTTGTTTGAAAAATCACGTCGTTACAGAATGAGATAAGGAAGGTAAGATGTCGATAGTCGTGTCTCCATCATGGATATAAGGATTGTGTCACAAAGATGTCCTGACCTTCAACATGTTCAGAAACATCAACCTGAAAATACGGTAAACAAAGAGAGTGAGAGTCGGAGTGAGTAATATTATGTAAACACCGGTAATTCATAGTACGATCATATAGATCAGAAAATATGCAAACGAAACCAACAATGAAATAGTAAGCCAATGTAAACAATAAAACATATACATGAATAAATCATAATATAGGCATATGAGCAAGAAGCATGTACCCGCTCCACAGATCAGAAGACAAAACATATAAAGGTGTCAGACTATCATCTACCCTAATATTTAGCCTCTACACCCTCCTATGTGAAGTTATGTCCTCTAAAGAGAAAGCTCGTTTATGTCTATGCTCACACTATCCTCCCACTTCTTTTTATGACATCATCTCTTTCTCTTGCCATCAATCATCGTAGAATCCATCCTTGTTACCGCCACTGATGATAGCCTCCTGTGGATATGTCCATATCATCTCAATCACCATTCCCTTAATTTTCGCAATCTATATTACTCCCAATGAATTTCTTACCGCTTCGTTTGGTTACCACCATAATACAACTATGATAACCTTCAGACCAACAATAAACATAAACCATTTTGATATACAATTATCGAAGGGCAATAGATGGAATAAGTTGGGACTTGAGAGTTGAGACTATAAAAAAAACTACATATTATATTAGAAAAAAACTTATCGTATATTAGAGCATCTCGAACCCACTTCCATTTTCTATTTTTCTCACATTCTTCTCCAACACTTCCCCATTTTGGGGGATATGAATAGTATCACACCAAATATGGTGTTATACTATTAATTTTTCCCAAAATGGTGATGAATTTTGCGTTGTCGGTTTTAGTCTCTCTGTTTATATATTTATACATTTCTAGTTTATTTTTACATACCAATTATAATTTAAATGTAATATTTAATACTTATAATATTTTGTTATATATTAAATTATATTAATTAATTATAAATATAAAGTTTGTTTTTTGTTCATCAAATTCATATAAAAAATTAAATACATATTGAAATTTTAAAAAACGATAACGTATTTTACAAAAGCTTATAAGTGTGTTATAAATATAATCTTATTTATTTAATATTATTGTAATGAAAAAAATATAAATTATTTATTTGTTAAAATCAAATTAGTAGAAGGAATTGTTTGACAATTTATATAAATTGGAATAATATAATATACTAGGAATATATTTTTGGGATAAAAAATAAAGTAAAAAATAGAATGGTAACAAAGATGAAACACTATTTAGTGAAAAAATAAAAATGGGTTAAAAGATGGTCTTAAAAAAAGATAAAATGTTGTTGCCTAAATTACTATTTAACCCTTTATCTTAAAATTAAAATAGAAATATATTCGTCATCGCCGACCAAAACTAGAACACAAACTTTCGCTTCAACCGTCACTACCCCACCGATACTCCTTTCCTCAACCTCCGATTTACAGATCTTAACAAATCCCCAATTTTTCATTCTACTAAATGACAACACCCACCTGAAAACAAGTAGAAATGCAATCCTTTTTCGTCTTCTTCATCACCTTTCTTTCAATTTGGGGAAATAATTTCATAAAACACTGCTATGCAAGCGTCTTCACCTTAAAGATGCACCACCGTTTCTCGGAGCCGGTGCGAAAGTGGTCGGAAAGCATTAACAAACTCTCCACTACCGATTTCCCTTCCAAAGGTAGCGTCGAGTTCTATTCTCAGTTGGCCGACCACGACAGGTTATTCCGAGGCCGGGGACTTTCAGATTCCGGCGAACAACAGCTCACTTTCGTAGATGGGAATTCCAGTTTACGCATCAAATCGTTGGGATAGTATGTATTTTGCCAACTCATTATCCTTATTGCTTGTCTCGAGTTCCTGATTAGGGTTTTTTATTCTTGTTTATCATCTCAAATGCGGATTTTTTTATTGTCAAATTAGTTTGCATTACACAACGGTTTCTCTAGGGACACCAGGCCAGAAGTTTTTGGTGGCGCTTGATACCGGAAGTGATCTATTTTGGGTGCCATGTGAGTGCAGCAGATGTGCCTCCATTGATAACACACCTTATAGCTCTGTATGTTATCTATATTTCTATCATCTCATAATCAAATCAAGTCAAGTTGTTTTCATGAAAGGTTAAACTTTTTCTCATAGGTAAACAATTTGATCTAACAAAACCCCAAATATTAATGAGCTTTTTATATGATCTTATAGAAATTTAACATGAGCATATACAACCCAAAGGAATCATCAACTAGCAAAAAAGTAACTTGCAACCACAGAATGTGCACTGCCAGCTGTCCTGGAAGTGGCACAGTCAGCACTTGCCCTTATTCATCTTCTTACATCTCCTCTCAAACTTCAACTTCTGGAATCTTGATGGAGGATTTCCTTCACCTAGAAACAGATGATATTAATGAACAAATTGTCAATGCATTTATCACTTTCGGGTAAATTCAATTCAATAAAACTCATTTCCACATTATACATACATACATATTTGATTTATATTTGAAAATTACAGATGTGGACAAGTTCAAAGTGGTTCATTTCTACACATTGCAGCTCCAAATGGTCTATTTGGGCTTGGAATGGAGAAAATATCAGTTCCTAGTTTGTTAGCAAGAGAAGGATACATTGCAAATTCTTTTTCCATGTGTTTTGCACATGATGGAAGTGGTAGGATTAGTTTTGGTGATAAAGGTAGCATTCATCAACAAGAGACACCGTTTAGTTTTGATGCATCACAGTAAGTGGTATTTGGTAAATGGTAAATTTTCGTGTTTTGATTCTAAACTTTTTGATCTTTTATTTAAAAAATTCACAATTTGCAGCCCGACATATACAATCACAGCAACACAACTTCGTGTTGGTGAATCTCTTATAAACTCAAGTTTCAGTGCCCTTTTTGATTCGGGCACCTCCTTCACATATCTTGTTGACCCACATTACACAAGGTTGACCAAAATGGTAAGAAGTGAAAAAAGATCAAAACTTTCTAATCTTTATTATATGGGTATGCATGAAATCATCATTATAATCTTTATTACATGGGTATGCATGAAATCATCATATATTGAGGTATCTCCTTCACACTTTTATAATCTTTATTACAAAAATGGTAAGAAGTGAAAAAAGATCAAAACTTTATAATCTTTATTACATGGGTATGCATGAAATCATCATATATTGAGGCATCTCCTTCGCATTTTTATAATCTTTATTACAAAAATGGAAAGAAGTGAAAAAAGATCAAAACTTTATAATCTTTAGTACATGGGTATGCATGAAATCATCATATATTGAGGCATCAATTTATGTTTATATGTGGGAACATCTTTTTGTTTTGCAGTTTCACGCACAAACTAAAGATTCACGAAGGCTAACTGATAAAAAGATTCCTTTTGAATATTGTTATGCTATGAGGTCTACTTTCTTGTCCCTTTTCTTTCTTAATCTTTCTTTCTTGTTTTGTTTTTACATAACCAAGTAACCATTTTCCAAAGGCCAAATGTGAGAAATAGAAAAGTACTTTTATTTATTTGTGAAATATAGCATCATACTTTCATTTCTTTTTTATTAAACAAATAAATGAAAGTAAAAGTACGTTGCTATTTTTATTTTTAATATTTCATTTAAACCCTTTTCTAATTATGTTATTGTGCCTTTGTCTTTGTTACATCTAGTCCTAATGCAAACACTAGTCTACTCCCGGATGTTACTTTGACCATGAAAGGCGAAGGTCAATTTTTTATCTACAATCCCGTAATTGTCCTCCCGACTCATGTAAAATTCCCATCTTGCCACTTCATTTCAATTTCTTGAAACAAAAAAAAACCCTAATTTTTCTTATACTATGTTGTAGCCGGAAGTTATATATTGTCTAGCTGTTATCAAGAATGAAGAAATGAGCATCATTGGACGTAAGTCTTCAATTTCTTGTATCCATTTTGTTGGAAAATACTTTTTAATCATATGTTTATCAGACTAACTGAAAAACTAGCTGATAGCTGATAAAAAATGACGTGTCCTGAATGGTGAAAAGGGTACATGGGTAAAACTTTAATGGTCATATATGACATAAACCTTTTTATATATAAGAGTAAATTACACGAATGGTCCCTATGGTTTGGAGTAATTTGCGCGTTTGGTCCCTAACTTATTCTTTTAACTCAGAAAGTCCCTACTGTTTGTTTTTGTTACTCGCTTGGTCCTGTCGTACCTAAAAGGACTATTATGCTCTTATTTAAATAAATTAAAATAGTCTTTTTAGGTAAGATAAGGCGAGGTGGGGGTGGGGTTGGGGTTGGGGGTGTGTTTATTTAAATAAATTAAAAAATCAAGGGCAAAATAGTATTTTTAGGTAAGACAGGGACCAAGCGTGCAACAAAAACAAACAGTAGGAACCTTCCGAGTTAAAAAAATAAGTTAGGAACCAAATGCGCAAATTACCCCAAACCATAGGGACCATTCGTGTAATTTACTCTTTTATATATAATACGTGTTACAAAAGTTAAATTATACAATTTCATACTTATATTATATCATGAATAATTTAATTTTTTTGAAAACAGAAAATTTCATGACTGGCTACCGAATCGTATTTGATAGAGAGAAACTTGTTCTTGGGTGGAAGAAGTCGAGTTGTAAGTCGATTTCATTTCCACTTTTTACACATATTATGATTATTGAAAGTCAAACGTTGACTTTCTTGAAAAATGAAACATAATTGTTTTGTAGGTTATGACATTGATAACTCAAATGCTTACTCATCAAAGCCGTTAAACAGTGAGATTATTCCTCATGCTGTTGCTGCTGGATTTGAAAGTGAAGGGAATAATAGAACAAGAGCTCGAAGCTCTAACGCATCATTTCTTCATGCAAATTTTTGTTTTTTGACTTGTAATTTATTTCACTCTCTTGTCATTCATTCTTTCATTGTAGTTATTTTTCTTCATTCTTTTGTTTGAATTAAATTGTTTTACTTTTTTTGTTGATCGTGTGTCCATGCCTAAAGTTATGTATGATTGTAGCTTTGATTGTGAATAGTTGATAGTGTTAGATTAAAGAAAGTGTAAGAAGGAAAAAGTGTTTGGATTAGTTTATATAGTATTAAAACACAGTAAGCTGATAAGCTCTTTATAGTGTTTGACAAATTTTGTTTATAAATGACAAAAAAGATAGGGGTAGAAGGGTAAATTGATATGCAAGTCGTTAGTGATGAACAAAGAAAAACAACGGTTGCAATCCATATGATAAGATTCTAAACTCATGGGTCAAGACAAGTCAACGGGTCAACCCATTTTGGGTTCTGGAATAATCTTTTGTGCTTTTCATTTTAGACCCGTTTAAGATTTTTGTGCTTTGAAGTACCTAAACATGACCCCATATGAACTTTGAACCTTTGGTCCCAAACTAACATGCATCCTAACTTGTACCAAGTGTAACAATACTTGTACCTTTCATGCCTTAGCCATTTTTCTGGATTTTCAAGATAAAGATGTATCCAACTTGTCAAAGAGACTTCAAGTAATAAATTTTATTGTTGGACTTAGAGTAAACTAACACAATAGTAGAAATCTTTGACAATTAACCTACTCATTGCTTTAAAAGCATCCTACTTTAAGATACATGATGAACATAATTACTATCTAGGATGTTGTACTCTTTCTTCAACTTAAGAAGTCTGATAGTTCGGTGGTTTTAACAAAAAAAAAAGTGAAAATTTGTTTTCTTTTTCGATTGTTTGTGTAAAATATTAAAGTATTAAATACAAACAAACAAAGTTACCTTTAGCCAAAATGGTTAAGGCCTTTGTCTCTCAAAGGTTGTCTGTTTAAATCCCTTGCAGGGTTTTTTTCTGTAAAATTTAATTTTTGCGTGTTTAAATGTTATCTGAAAAAGTAAATCCGTGATTTTACTAGCCTTTTTAGTGTGGTAATTGGTCATTGTGTTATATTTTCTAAAAAAGTAGGTTATGATGTAATATAGGAAAACAAAATATGGTCGGTGAATAACTCAAAAGGTATTGCATCTAAAGTTTATGTTTAATCAAACACTGAATCAACAAAAAGTATATTTCAAACTGTAATCATATATTAAAACATGGGGGTGTCTAAGGTTCTATTTTTTCCTTTTAAGTAACCATTGTATCATATATTTTATCAATTAAATCTATTAGATCTAAATGGAAATTAGTCCCTTCTAATTGATGGAAACAATCCACCAAAAAAGTTGTGAAATGCCTAAAAGGTAAAAACAATGAATAGACAAAGTCTTGTCTTCTAACTAATTCTTCAAACCTACTCCAATATCACTAGCTATATCAGCCATGCACCATCAGTTAGTTATCATACCAACCATGAACCACCCAATCATATCTCCCCCCCCCCCCCCCCCCCCCCCCCCTCCTAAATATCTTTCTATAAATAACATGCCATGAAGTCCATGCATGATCATCTCAAGGTGACAAACTACATACGAGTTGATTTATAAAGGCAAGCATATAACATGGCCCTCATGACTACATTATTAGCCTCACTACTCATTCTCTCATTTTTCTCTTGTGGAACTTCACTAAGTTCAAATTACTATTCCAAAACATGTCCTAATGTCGAATCACTAGTCACAAAGGCAGTGAGTGATGCTGCATCAAATGACAAAAAGGTCCCTGCAGCACTACTAAGGATGCACTTCCACGACTGTTTCATAAGGGTATATATGCATGGGAATCGTTCATTTCAATTCTCTGACATTCTTATTATCGTGTTGACTAAATTGATCACTAACTATTTTTGTTCAATCTTTCTAAAAGGGTTGTGACGCTTCTGTTTTGCTGGATTCCAAGGGCAAAAACACCGCTGAAAAAGATGGCCCACCTAATGTTTCTTTGCATGCATTTTATGTAATCGACAATGCTAAAAAAGCAGTTGAATCCGCATGCCCAGGAATAGTTTCGTGTGCTGATATCTTAGCTCTAGCAGCAAGAGATTCAGTTGTGCTTGTAAGAATAAATCTTCTTATTGTCGACAATATTATAAAGAAACTGTAATAATTATTAAAGGGTATTTTCGACATTTGATTAACAGTCTGGAGGACCATCTTGGGATGTGCCAAAAGGAAGAAAAGATGGAAGAACATCGAAGGCTAGTGAAACTATACAACTCCCGGCTCCTACATTCAACATATCTCAACTTCAAAAAAGCTTCGCTCAGAGAGGTCTATCCCTAGAAGACCTAGTTGCCCTTTCAGGTAACTTATATTCCGAATATGTCCTTTTGTACCTTTTTTATCCCAAAATAAATGAAACATTTCCATTATAACAAAGTTTCAATCCAAAATATTATAACAAAGTTTCAATCCAAAATATTATTCATCGACTCTTTGTTATCAGAAAGCTTATGAAATTTGTTCATGTAACTTGTATATATGTAGGTGGGCATACTCTTGGTTTCTCGCATTGTTCATCATTCAAAAATAGGATCCACAACTTCAACTCCACAACAGATATTGACCCTTCACTCCAGCCTTCATTTGCTGCAAGTTTAAAAAGTGTTTGCCCAGTTAAAAATGCAAAGAATGCAGGAGTTCCAATGGATCCTTCTTCTACAAGTTTTGATAATACATACTACAAACTCCTCTTTCAGCAAAAGGCTTTATTTTCTTCGGACAAAGCTTTGCTTGATTTCCCTAAAACTAAAAATTTGGCATCTAAGTTTGCAAGCTCAAAAGATGCGTTCACAAAGGCGTTTATAAAGTCAATGATTAAGATGAGTAGTATTACAGGTGGTCAGGAGGTTAGAAAGAACTGTAAGGTGGTAAACTAGATTGCATACGAAGATTTATATGTACTTTTGTGTGGTGAGATAAGTTTATAAGATAAAGGGGAAGCCCAGTGCACCATGGCTCTTAAGTCTTAGATGACATGGTTGTATTAAATTTGTTATAAAAATGTTTAAGTTTTTGATACTAGCAGAAATATTACATCTGTCCGTGGAGCTTAAATTTATAAGATTTGAGCAAGGGAAGACTAATGAGTACAGATGAACTATGACAATTGACACACACACCATTTTATGACATACAAAAATGTATGTCATAAAAATGTCATCTAAAAAAATGAAGGACTTATGACTTGCATACTTCTATCACGTAAATCCGTGTCATCTTTTTATAACATTTACAAATACAAAAATGTATGCTATTTTTAGTGTCATAACAACTTTCAGAGTGATGAGAAGAAAATGCATCTTCTTCTGCCAACAATGAAAGTCGTTTCCTTCAAACTTTTCAAGTTTTTCGAATTTGGAACTCATGTCCCTGACAGATTATGACATTGTTATTCCTTTCAAATCATAGATTTTGAATGTTAGATTTTGTGTTTTGAAATAACAATAAATAATATGGATATTCAAGGATTGTGTTTGGAAAACACTTTCCAAAATCTGTGATTTCGACCATATTGTCCGGGGTACTATGAAATCTAATTTGGAATCCAAGAACAAATCGATTTGGAATACAATCTTATTCCAAATCTAAAACACAAAATATACATTGCTTTGTTGTGATTTGAGAGATAGGATGCAGAGAGAATAAGAAGTAGTTAATAGGGAAAAATAGTTACTTTCCTGTCTTCCTTACATATGAAGAAGAAAATAGTTAATAGGGAAAAATGGCTCCTTTTTAATGGATGTGAATATTGGGTCATTAGGCAAAAAAATAAGGGCTGCCAGGGCTCTGTCCTTTGGACCCCGCTAGAGGCGCTACCTCTAGACCCGTCAGGGATGCTTCCCTTGGAACCCTGTCCCTTGGGGTGCTGCCCTCGAACCTCCGTATTCTCGAGTCCACATTTATCAATCTGAGTGTATACCCCGCACCTCAAATTTCGGAAATTAAATTGAATTCAGTCTATCTCGATAATAATACTAACTACACTAAAATATGTTGATGATACTAAAATCACCAACATGTCACACCACACCATCATTGTCTAAATTTATATGCATATTGTTAAAGTTCTAAAAGTCATATTTATTAAGTATAATACTAAAAATTATTCAATATTTGTAATAAATACACATAATGCTATTTTTTTTTATCATACAAGTAAGTTACAAATTTTATAAGAAAAAAAAAGTTATATTTGAGCCAACACATTTCTTTTATAGTATTGTGTATGAAGCTTATTTTGCTTATATTTTTGGCTTCAAACAAATCGATTTTTACTTTCGATTTTATTCACTTATGCATATACGACACCATTGCACGTGTCTAAATTTGAAGTTATTGATTTTATTAATTCAGAATTCACATGATCTAAGAATTTGAAGTAATTGTCAATTGGTTTAACTCGTAATATTCTAGGTTAGACATCATAAATTTGAAGTCAAATAAATTTTCCAAAATAAGAGAGAGTGAATGGGCCCCTAAATTCCTATGGACAACAAAATTGGTTCATATGGGGGTTTATCTTCCTTACTCAGAAAAAATTATTACAGGATATATAATTTTTTAAGTAATTTTTATAAAAGCACTGACCAATGTTGATATGATAACTTGCCGTCCTAGTGGTTATGATTCAAGTTTCACCTGTAAATATGATGTAATTTAGTATTAGATTAAAAGGTGTTAAAGTATGGTATTTAACTCTTATCTATAACAGGCTACCAATTTATCATGAAAAAACAAAGGAGTAAAAGAAAAGTGCATACATACCCAAAAGAAACATTAACAACCTTTTCTTGATCTACTAATAAACGTAGGTTTAAAGCAATATTATTTGCTTGAAAATGTAAGACATAATCATAATATTCTATAACAGATTTGACGCTTCACCATATACCCATAACTATATAATTTCATATTAACATTTTTATAGTTAGGTCATAGGTGTGTTTTAATATACTGAACCATATAAACATGGTTAAAAAGAGATTATCCATAGGTATTTGCCATTCAACATGTATCGGGGTGGCAAAGTATATTTCAAAATCGATGCATGATGAAGAGATGGTTTCAACTTTCAACATGTGAATGCCAAGATGATGGTCATTGAATTATGATACCATCAACAACTTGCAATATCTACTTACGATGTGTTTGACAAAGAGGTTTTAGAAACTTTTTAAATTTTTATTTTTTAAAAAACAAAGAAAAAATTGTATGAAAGTACGTATTTAAAATTTTTAATTTGTGTACCGAACTCATGAACGAGACGCATTCCTTCCCATGGGCACAAGTGTAAATTCCCACCATGTTCGTCGTTTGATGCTCGTTTTCTTATCGGTTCTTTGTTCGATGTTTAGCGTGGTCGGTAACTTTGGTGTGAACACGTCTTTTTGCTCATTGCTATACTATTCGGGACTTCAAGGTGAGTTTTCAGATTTTCCTAAACCATGTACATAGTCGACAAATACATTTCATGAATGATTCGTTTGATTTAAATTAGGATATTTACTCACTTTATTATGATTGTGGGTGTAATATGTGATATCCTGATGTTTTCCTTTGTGCTAATTGACAAGCCTTGGAACTTGATTGATAACTAAACTCGATTACGATTTATAATTATTTGTTAAAAATATGTTATGGTTTGACTCATGAAATGATTGATATATGAATATGCTTGGATGTGTATTTGTTGATTATTGTACATGTTATCCTACTCGTTTCAGTTATGTGAGTTTGCATGCTTACACTTGGTATACAACTGATTATACGGGGTTATGCTTAGGGGAAAGGGTAGTACCATAAAACCCTATCCGGATTACTTGCGGGCTTGGTCGGTTTGTAACATCCGTTTTCCAGAATAGATCAGTTGAGAGTTCAGAAAGATTAAAGGTAAGGTTTTTGGGAAAAACCTGGTGTCACGACGTGACGAATTGGGTGTCACGACGTGACATGCTAATTGGATGATCGCGTTTCAAAATGGTTGTCACGACGTGACTGCAGCTGGAGCTCAAGCCCATAAATTTTTAAGGTTTCTTCCATATTTAAAGTCATTAACTCGTAACCTAGGGTATCCTCTTCAGCCTCCAGCCCCTCTTAACAAAATCTTAGCCTCTATTGATGAATCCTTGAGCTTTTGGTGACTTGAAGGAGAAGGGATCATCCTTGGTGCTTAGATCCAACTTGCAAGCCTCATTTTCATTATCTAGCAATTTCTCTGGACTTTTGTAAGTATTCAAGCTTCAAGCTTTATGATTTCGTGTTGCTAGATCTAAACTTTTATGCATTATTCTCCATGTGTAGACTAGTTGTAGTGTTAGAATTCCATAAATTTGGCAACTTTATGGGTCCTTAGAGTCCCTTTGTAGTTAGATGTGCTAGATCTGAAGATTGGTGGAGTTTTGAACTCTTGCATGAGGTTTTGACCTCTTTTTCATCATTTGTGACCTAATTTGAGCTCAAGACTTACATAGGGAATGCATGTCTCCAAAGCAACGATTTTTATAGCTTTTGGGGTGTAAAGAAGCCTTCTGGAGGAGATGAGTGTGTGGCTTAATGGATTAAGGGCTTAATCCATTAAGCTGACCAAAACCAATTCTCATGACGTGACGATATGTATGTCACGTCGTGACGATTGAAGACCTCGCGACTATTTTGTCTTTAGCTGGCCACGTGACTGTTTTGTTGACCGTTGACCGTTGACTTTTTGACCAGTTGACCTTGGGTCAAACTTGAAGGATTTGGGTTATTGATGAAACCGGGGATTTTAGTTGAAAACCGGGCCTTGCGCGGGCAGAGTTTCAACTTGAAAAGATTATTTTCTCGGGTCTTTGGTGCGTCCGACTTGCTTCGGGTGTCGGGGATGTTTCCTAGGCTTCGGGGGGTGTTAGGGTAATTTGAGAGAGAGTAGAGGGTGAGAGAGAATCAAATTTGTAACCATAATTCGGGCAGCCTCGCACCCTATTTATAGTATCTGAAGCACCTGATTACGTTGGGCGTAATTTCATGTACGCGGGGCGTACTCCCTTAATAGCCACTACGCTGGGCGTAAACCATCGTACGCTGGGCGTACGAGGGGATCAGTTCGGACGCGTCAAGGCTACGATATGTGGCACTCATGCGAAGGAGTAGGGAGGGTGACTAACTCCGGGTCACTTACACGAGTACGTTGGGCGTACTTCGGTACGTTGGGCGTATTCCTTCGGACCAGCCTCGAAGTTTGTGCCCAAAACTTCAAAAATTTGTATCTTTCGCATACGAGCTCCGTTTTTGACGTTCTTTATATGCATGCGTAGGTGAAATTGTGCTCTACAACTTTCATTTAGACTCCGTCGGCTAATTTTGAATTTATTTTTAATGTTATATTTTTAACGGGCCGGGACAGGAAAAGTCCGTTAAAAATTCATAACTTCTTCATCCGACGTCCGTTTTTGTCTGTCTTTTTACCGTTATACTGCTATTGACGAGATCTTCGATTCTTGTTTAGGTTGTGTCGGCTAAAAATCACTCGATCTTTATTTCGAGTTTCGGGCTGTGTACTGCTATGCCGATTCTTAGAAAAATCATAACTTCCTCATACGAAGTCAGATTTAGACGCTTTTTTTATGAAAATTCTCGGTTTAACGAATACTACGAATTTCATTTAGATCACTTAATCTAAAAAAATTAGTTTATCGTAAACTCACTTTTTACGTCATATGGCGTCGTGCCGATTCTGTCGCGAAACTTCAATAAGTCATAACTTCTTCGTTATAACTCGGATTTCGATGAGGTTTTCGCCTAAATGTTTCTAACGAGATAATCTACAACTTTCAACAACATTATTTTTACTTATTTCCAACTTTATAATTTTGTTAATTTTGATAATTGACTTTTGATTGAAATCTCATAAGACTTCCAATACTTTCCGAATGATTCTAAACATAGTTTTACTTCAATCTCATAAAACTATCTT